TTACTCAGGATAAAAGAACGTTTCGCGTTGACTAAGATCATCCTGAATTATTGCCTGAATGTGCTTATTGAGAGTTTGTGAAGAGTATGGCCAACAAACAGGAATGAGGGGCGGAAGCTCCTTCCAGCTCCAAACGCCAGGAACCTGGAACCCTTCTGTGCCCCCCGCCCCCTCTCCCGATGACCACCTAGACTCACATTCGTGGTCTTCTTGTAATAGTCTATATTGTTGATGTCTCTGGCCAGTCCAAAGTCTGCTATTTTCATCACATTGTTTTCTGTTACCAATACATTTCTGGCTGCTAAATCCCGATGAATGCACTGAAATCAAGAAAGAAGGAATTTCAAAATGCTTCAAAGAAGCAAAAGAAAATATAGGCTCATTTCTTAAAATGCGGGCAGAACATACATTTCAAGTCAAAAACTGGTTGTTCCATCTTCCAAAGATGAAGCTGGTCAGCTGAGACCACCAAGAGCCCCCAACACGACTCTGGTATTTATTTTCTAATTGTGAATAACTAAGCCAAGGCCCTGGTCATTTCAAGACCACGCTCTTTCACTGGTAGCCCCGACGCACCAGGGTCCTCCTTCCAGCACACAGAATGGCACTGGAGTGTCCACACCTGCCATCCATCCCAACACCTGATCCTTAAACCCACTTTCAGAAGGGCTGCTTCACCCCAGCATCAATCTTTACCTCCTGGACAAGTCCCTTCTCTGACGCTCTGACCTGATACAACTCTGGTTTCAGAAGGTCTACAATTACAACTTTGGTATTCTCTTTCCACAGATGACATGTTTCCCTGCTCCTCCTAAAGAGGATGAATCAGCTCTCCACTGCTAGATCCAGCAGCCCTTGAACCCCCCTAAGTTCTTCCTCTCTGATTGCTTGCTCATTTTTGAAAACTGTCCTTCCCTAAGCCCCGCTCTCCCTCCCCTTGCTCTTGGCTCATTCTCTTTCTCTCCTGGACACTCTCTGACTCTGTGGTTGGCTCATCTTTTCCTCTGTCCCTCAAAAGTAGAGAAAGTGCCCCATTGCGTCTGTGCATCTCTATCTACCCTCACAGAGTCAAATCCTAGATGATGTATAAAAATGGTCACAAATTCCCGTCTCCACTCCGACCTCTCCCGAGACCCATGTTCTCATTTTCAACTCACTGTGGGACATTTCTACAGCGGTGTCCCCTTAACGCATCAAGGTTCAACTTTCTACTCCCCTGATTCTTATTCCTTTTGTCTCTCTCAATCAGAAAGGGACACACCAGCATCCTTTACACCCAAGTCCTTGATTCCAACTCCAAAGTGCCTCTCCAGTTTGCCACCTTACTGCTGACCCCTCAGTGCAGGCTGTGGTCACTGCCCGCCCGCTGAGGACTGCCACACTGCCTGTTCTCCATGCTTCCTTCAAACTCGGCCGACTCCTCTCCCTCCCTTCCCTGTGTTTTAGACGCAGACAGTTGTGCCCCCGAGAGGTTTGTGTTGCACCAATCCCCATCTATCCAGGCCCTTGGCCCCGTCTGTCAGAACACCTGGCCCGCACAGGGACGCAGGCTGTGGCTACAGGGCTTGCTAGGGGGACTGCGTCACGAGGGCTGATGCTTCCTGGGAGTCCCTCTGGTCTCAGAAAGGCCTAGCTATTCTAACTTCTGTGTTTCCTTCCTACAAATGAAATGTCCTTGCTAGAGTTTTACCTGCACTCAAACATACCACGATCTCATAATGGTACCTGGTAATTAGGGTCCCGAATCATCACCCTGTAATTTGGGGAGAGGTAAGGCACAAAGAAGCAAGTCAACAATACCATCAAATGCCTTTATGCAGGTTACCAATAAAGGGTAACTGTCACATGACGCCGAGAGTCTGGCCAATCAACTGGACACACTTAGACGGGCACTTAAAAAAGAGCCAAACCACTTCAGAAATAGGAATTAAGGATTATTTTACTCTATCCACACCCCCAGCTAGTCCTTGTGTTTACTTGCTTCCGTGGGACGGCTGAGTTCAGAAAGAGGGAAGCAGGAAAGCCACCAAGTCTGTGCGTCCCCGGCCAGACAGGAGCAGGGAACGTGAGCACTCCCAGAGCTGCCTGCAGATCTGCGTGGCTGGGGCCGCCTTCCTGGTCTGGAGGCCTCTTCAAATTGAACTTCCAAGCCCCGGGCCAAACTCTCCCGGTGGTACGCTGCCTCCAACACATGCTGTGAGTTTGGCAAGCCGTGTGGTCAGGAGAATCCAGCTTCCCCTGCACTGGGCCCCGACCACACATCAGGGCTCGACTGGGAAGAGATGCTGCCTAGGGCTACTGCCACCACCTTGTCCAGCTCGGACACCCCTCTTCCTGGGGAGCCCGGACACACCAAAGGCCCCGCCAGGCTGAACAGAAGACTTGGAACCAGAGCCAGAAAAGGGAAAATAATTCAAAGCAAGCCAGATCCCATCACTCAAGAAATCTGAGTTGTTCTCCAGCCCAAAGAGCTGACTATTTATATAATTAGGGCCTGAGACAGTTTGGCATTCCCCCCTCCTACAGGAGAAGGGTCGCTCAGGAAGGAAAGCTAACGCCCCCAGGACGCCTCCGAGATGGGGCGATGGGCCTGCTTAATAGGAAAATCCAACCCGCCCGGGTTTAACACTCTGGAAGCTAAACTGGATGTGCAATTTAGTTACAAAAGAAAATATGTGCTTTGAACTGAAAATAGCAAGGAGTTTATAAACTGTGTAAGGCCAAACACCCCCTTACGAA